GTTCCATATGTCCAACACTGCCTAGAAATATGTGCATCAAATTGTTGAGATGAAGATTGGTTCCCCGCGGGAAAGGCACTGCCTCTCCAGTTGGCAGCAACGATTGAAGATATCTCTCCCCTCCATGCCTTTCTCATGTGGCCTTGCAAGTCTGCTTGCCTCCTCCCACTCTGCCTGCCCTACAGGCAGAGGCTGCATGGGGGATGCTGTGTGTGTGAACTGTTTTTTCTGCACGTCTTCTCACGACTTCATTTGTCCGCAGGTGGTGCAACGTTACACAGGAGGAGCGCAAGGTGTGAGGTTTCGCTGATGTTAAAGGCGCAGAGGGGGGATATTACTTCAATCGCCGCGCTCCTCCTGTGTAACGTTGCACCGCCCGCAGACAAATGAAGCCGTGAGAAGACACCGCACAGCAAAAACGGACTGCCTACAGCCTCCCTCCCCACTGTAGGGCGGGCAGAGTGGGAGGAGGCAAGCTGACTATGGAGGCCCCGTGGCTCGCCATTGCCAGGAACTGCAACTGCTAGAGCAAATTATGTATTTATTTATTTATATATTTAATTGCTATATTCCATGGATAAGACCCACTTTTTAAACCTAAAAAAAAAATTGGGTAAAAAAATCCTCGTTTTATAGATGGAAAAATACGGTACTTTAAAACACACAGTAAAATACTAAAACATATTAACATTACCTCAGCTTTCTCAGCATGGGGGGTGTCTTGTCTAAATAAGAACGTTTTTAGCAGGCACCAAAAAGTGTATAATGAAGACATCTGAAGGCAGACATTAGAAGACATCTGAAGGCAGCTCTGTTCAAGGAAGTTTTTAATGTTTGATGTTTTATCACTTTTTTATTATTATTAATATTCTGTTAGGAGCTGCCCAGAGTGGCTGGAGAAACCCAGCCAGATGGGTGGGGTATAAATATTATTATTATTATTATTATTATTATTATTATTATTATTATGGTGCCTGTTTGATTTTTATAGGCAGGGAGTTCCAAAATGAAGACACTGCCACACTAAACTATAAATAGACATTCACTCCTATTTTCTGATGCCCAGGTATGAGTGCAGATATTTATTAGCCAAAACAGCACCACCCACCCCATGCACAGGAGGGAGATGCCTTGATAGAGCCACAACATTTGCAGGAGTATTAAAAATAGATAGAGAATATCTTCCAAACAGCCCAATGAGGACTGAGTGTAGTCAGTGGCCACAAGATGCTGAGCTGACTATTTTTTGGGGAAAGCAGAAAACCAGGTATGAGCGGGAATGAAATTAAGTAGACTGAAAATTGCATAGGGTTGAATTACATGACCCTTGGAATCCCTTCCAACTCTACGGTTCTATGATTCTATGAAAGAGGGTAAGACGGACTGGCTGGAATACTAAACAGGAAATGACATACTGCAATATTTTGTTGCAGGCTTTATTTATTGCATCCTAGGGAAATATTCCAGTTTGTTCTATCCAATAAGAGTCTGTTTCAATTATTTAGCAGAAGGGCACCCAAACCACAAATTTTGTTGGAGACGAAGGTTAATTGACTCAAAACGAGACAAGATGAAACAGGAAGGGGAGGCATTGTTCAGTGCTTTGTGATGCAGTATACTGCACAGTGAAATGGTTGCCGAATGTCAAACGCAATAAATTTAATGCAAGGGTGGCATTTATTTTAGAGACTTAGGCTGCAATCCTAACCACATTTACCTGAGAGGAAGGCTCACCGAACTCAGTAGGACCTCCTCCTGAGTAGACATGGTTAGCACCGCAAGCTATGCTGCTAATGAGATACCATAAATACAACCTTAAAATGTCTCTGTCTGCTTTCCTTAATAAGGCACTTACAGTTACTATGACAACCCAACAACAGTGGGTTGGAAAGTATATTCTCTTTCTTAGTAAAAGGCTTTTGACTGGGTCAGATCCTCTGCTTGATGGACAGTGAGTGCCCCATTGACTAGATATTTTAAGAAGTCTGTTTACCATGTGATAACCTTAATCTTTGATTCACCTCAGTAATCAAAAGGTATTTCACTTAAGCAAGAATGCAATCATGCATTTGAAAGCCAGTAGGTGTCCATCTATTTGAGAATATGCAGGAGACAAATGATGGCTGGGGAATGAGTTAAGAGCCTCCTCTTTCAATGCTTCTTTACTCACAAATTCAATTCCTGAAGTGGCCTTTTAATAGCAATTGTTTGGATCTGGAGATCTCTTGAGTAGAATTATTCCACCAGGGCCAGATTTAGGTTTGATGAGGCCCTAAGCTACTGAAGGTAATGGGGCCCTTTATATGTCCAGCTGTCCTTTGTCAACAACAAATTGTCACTGTTTTTGTGTGTTGAATATATGCCATATGGTAATTTATGGATCTAATAGGTCCATACACAAAACTGTTGCTTTATGTAGGTTTTATTTTATTTTATTTGTTTTTTATCTTATATTTTGGAAATGTACATCCAGGTTTTTTTCCTTTACATTTTTTGGGGCCCTAAGCTATAGCTTGTTTAGCTTATCTGTAAATCTGGCACTGAATTCCACTGATGGGATGCTCCCACTGAACAAAGGGAAGAGGTGATAAAAGCCACCTGGAAATCTATATTCAAATGCAGATGGAGGGAACAAACAAAGAAAAAACAGTACAGCACATAATCAAGAGCCATTTCCTTTAAAGCAGTCAGTTTTGAAAAGCCTGCTGGAATCCAGCAATTTTCACCTTATGGTAGAAGGAGGGACTTCCAGGGAGAAACCACCGAAAAGGCCCTTTCCTGGGTTCCCAGCTAGTTTGCCTGTGAGGATGATGAGAGTGAGAGAAGGTCCTCCTTGAAAGATGCCCTTGCCAATTAGAAATGAGGATTTGGGACAAAAATTGGGGCGTTCTTCACTTCCGGGTCAGCGCCATTGTGAATGGCGGAGTTCATCCGGCCGGAGGAACGGGCTCCGTGGAAACTGGGTCTTCCCGCTGCAGCGAAGGTGGGGACCCGCTAGAAATCCCAGGCAGAGGAAGCCTGGGAATGTGGGGTTTGGCAGGGCACCAGAAGCCCCCCTACTTGTGGGGAATCCCATTTAGGGGCTCCGGAGCGAAGTGGGGTGAGAAGCGTGGTGCTGCGAACTGACTGCTACTTTCACGGAGTGAAGCCGCACAGCCATTGCCAGAGAGCGCTGACTTTTTCCTGTGGACAATTGGACTTAAAACAAGTACCCGTGAGTAGAAACGGAAAATTGGATCAAGAAATTGCTTAATTTGGTATTGAAGCGGGAAGGTGCAAACAGGAAGTCCGCCTTCCGCTTTTTGTATATAGACTAAAGCAAAAATTTTGTAAGCTAAAGCCGGGAAAGCTGTCAAAAAAGCCTAAATTTTCTTCATTCAGAATCACTGAAACCCCCCTTGGAAGCAGGAGAAAGGGGGGGGGACTCTGTTTAACCCTAGCAGGAGAGGGAGTGAAGAAGGATAAGTTTCCACCGTCTCTAACCTGGGAACGGGGTGTCAGAGACAGAAACTGTTGGAGTGGCTCATTGACTGTGAATGGAATACTTTGACAGATAGCTAATGAAGTTGATTCTAATGTTGCCTTTTGCATTTTAAAGAAACAAAATATCTGAAAAACATCTGAAATATCCGGAAAATGAAAGTAACTTTCCTTTGCCTTTAAAAAAAAAAAATGGATACAAAGAGAAATTGTCTCCTCTAGAGGGAGCTTGTTAAATTGTTGCTGCAGTATACTTGAGGATCCAACATCTGTGAGATTAAGATCGTGGGAACAGTCTTTTCTGACCTTGACCAAAGATGAGCTGGGAGGAAGATTGGGTGCTTGCTTTATGCAAAACAAATGCCTTGCTGGAACAGATGCACGAGAAGATGGATTTGATGAATGAGAAAATAGATTTGACTGTTGTGGTTAATAACTGTGGACAAACAGGGAGCATTGATACAGAAATCATCCAGGGACCAACCTATGATTCTTTACTGACTGGGCAAGTGCAGATGACGATGAAGGAAGATGCGGTTGCACCTCAAATAATACAAATGGAGAGACCCGAGGCCCTACAGGAGCATAAGCCGCTGTCATTGAAGATTGAAGTTGAAATGGGCCAGGGGGAGTTTGGAGATGAGGAGGTTCCTAACTTTGGAGAGACCTTGAAATATGACATTAAATACTTTTTGGATTATATCGAGGACTGTGGGGAGTGGGACTGTGGGGAATGGGCGGGCTGGATGAAGGGAAATGGAGACAATTTTGGGTTGGAATCCCCCAGATAGCTACTCCTCAATGAGAAAGGAAAGAAATTAAGAAAGAGACCAACAAAAGACAAGGAAAAGGGCAAATATAAACAAGAAGAAGAAGAACTGCAGAAGGGACATGGAAGAGACTTAAGGGCCTCGGACATAAGGCTTCCAGGTTGATGGACTAGATGGAATGGATAGTAAGGACTGACACGATCCGAGACCAGGAAGAAGAGACGCTGGATGATGATTGGAAGAAAACTTATAAAGGAAACTTTTTATTTAGAATTAGCGTAATGAATATTAGGGAAAATGTTGGAATGAAACTATATGACTCTAGCAGAAATGATATCAGGAGCTATGTATATTTGAAAACTAAGATTTAAGCTTTAAGGTATTTTGGGGTAAGATAAGGTTAAATAAATTAAGGTAATTTGAATAACAGAATATGGGGAAAGATAGAAAGGATTTGTTGAGTTAATTATAAGGTTAAATTGTTAAGATATATTTTTTTAAAAAAATTGAGAAAGATGGAAAGAATTTGCTGAAATAATTAATTAAACTAGAATACAAAAAGGGAGGTGTGAGGAGGTCAATGAAACAAGCAAATGGAAATTATAGATATGCAATTTGGGATTTGTGTCTCCCCCCCCCTTCTTTTTATTTTTATTTTGCTGTATTGTTGTATTGGTTTTTATGTTCTGTGTTTTTCTCTTTTTTTATATTGTAGTGTTGTTCTTTATTTTGTCTTTTTTTTGTAATTTTGAGATTATTAATAAATATTATTTTTTTAAAAAATTGGGGCGTTCTCTAGAAAGTGCTTTGTTCTTAATTAATTATATAGATTTACAAGCTGCCTTTCAGGGCCACTCATTGCCTTCACACATATTACACAAGGCACATGTTACACAATAAGCATAACAATTAGCAGGAAACTTTCACCGATATGTGAAAATTCATAAAAAGGTTGCTTGATATAAGCACATCATAAGACCACCTTTGACAGGCCAAATGTGTTTTGTGAGGAAGGGCATTCCATAAATATGGGAATAGCATTGAAAATGCACTGCATCCAGTCATTCAATCGAACATCTCTCACTGATGGACTGGAGGGCAGGACCTCAGAGCCTTATCTTACAGCTTAGGCAGTTTTGTACAGGTGCAGGTGGTCTTTCAGATAACCTGGCCCAAACCATTTAAGGCTTTAAATACCAAAGCCAGCACTTTAGATTGGGCCCACAAACAAGCAGGCAGTGCACCTACAAAGAAATCCTGGTTTCTTTGGTTCTTTTTAATAGCTTTCCACTTCGGCTTCTGGATGCAGTCTTCCTGAGGAAGAAAGGTTCTATTTAATTAGTCCAGTATACCATCTGTGTGGAGATTGCCTCAAGGTCACAAGTGACTGTGCAGAAACTCTCTTAGTAGCTGCATGGTCTTCTCGCACATACAACTTCCAGGACTGGAGAAATGGGCCCTAGGCCCTGATTGGCTAAAGGAAAATCTAAATTCCTGTATCCAGGTCTTCCTGTATAACAACAACAACAAATTATTTATACCCCACCTATCTGGCTGGGTTTCCCCAGCCACTCTTGGTGGCTCCGAACAGAATATTAAAAGCACAATAAAACATCAAACATAAAAAACTTCCCTAAACAGGTTGCCTTCAGATGTCTTCTAAAAGTCAGATAGTTGTTTGTTTCCTTGACATCTGATGGGAGGGCATTCCACAGGGAGGGTGCCACTACCAAGAAGGTCCTCTGTTGGTATAAAACTTGGGACTCAGCTACATTAGTCAAAAAACAGCATTTTAAATACATTCTAAACATGCAATACCAGATGGAGCTGTGGAGCACAAAACTTTTCTATGTGATTTTACATAGCATTTCCCCCCTTTTGTTATAACAATTTAATTTCTGACTTATTTATAGCATTTTTCCCTTGTGTGTAGATGCACCCCTTTGGCCAGAGTCTAATGGGGCCCCATTTGGATGAAGGACTGTGTTGTACAAGAACCACATATAACTGGATACGGTTTGCTAGTGGGGTCTAGTGACTCTAATGTTTGGTATTTGGGTGAGGAAAGCTAGCTTTTTGGTCTGTGTCTCACATCATATGACTACCATGCCAATAATGACCAGTTAGTCTGGCCAGGAAAAGTGAAAGCTTTATCTCAGTGGCTCATCCCATTTTCCAAGATTAGAACTAGTACTTGCATGTTTTTTCATCATTGTCAGGGACAATGAAAGCAATTAGTTTGAAAAACAGGTACCAGACCCCCCCCCCAACTAATGGGCCTTAACATGAAAATTCAGTACATGGAGATATGCAAATAAAAACACCAGTGAATTGGAATACACTCCTTGTTTGATGAAGTCTTGGATCACAACATAATGCATAAAATTCACCGCACACCTCATTTTCATAGACAAACCCTTATCATTCTTCCTTTAGAAGTGGGAAATTGTGCTTCTCAGATCTCTAAAAGTTCCCTTGTAAAGGTGACTCTTCCCCTCTGGAGCTGGAAGGAATTCATCTTTCCCAGGAACAGTTCATTCACTGAACAGTTAATATCCGAGAAGGAACATTTTCTATAGTCACAACCTAATTTCCGATGATGCCTTTTTGATGTCAAAAAGAAAAATGAGAACTGAGCCTCATTCTGTGTTCAAAGGTGTATATATTATGCCTACTCATCAAGCTTGGTACTTCTATATTTAATTGCCCACAAAGTGCAAAATAAACTGTGGATGCTTAGCTGCTAGTTATATATATTTTAAAAGCCATAATGAAAGAACCTGTGTATAGGATTTGGTGTGTTGTAGGGTGGATTTACCTAAGCAGCCCCTTCTGAGGGAGCCCAATGCAAGGACTTTTGCTTGTGCATGGGGTGTTCTCCCCTTCTTCTCACCCCATCTGCTTCCAATGGGTTCTGTGGGGTTTGTGGAAACCCTCAAAGCACAATGCAGGGGGGAAGAGAGGGTGATCTTTCTATCTGGCAAGCTGAAATGCTTGCACAAGCAGAATGACTGGAAGAGTGTGATGCTGAATCCCACCCAGAATATCCATTCTCTCAGAAGCATTGAGACTGAATGTTGAAGTAGATCCATGAGTTCTTGCAATTACCCAAGCAGGGTCCCACACGATCATCATAGCTAAAAGGTTTCCTAACCTGTGCTTACACCTTGGTGAGCTATGACCCAAAGATGTAGGAAAGTGATACTATTATGTTTGCAAATACTGTGCACAAAGGGCCCGGCACACATTTTAAGAACTCAGCTTGGGCAGGCATGTGGATGGGCAACTGCCCAGTTTCTTGTTGAAAACATTTATAATACTGGCATGATTAGGCCTCATAGTGGAATTATTTAATTGCTAGCTTTTAAAAAAAGAAGTTTTCGAGGATTATTATTTCCAGTTTCTAGCAACCAGCACTGTGATGTGCTGGTCACTGGTCAAAGTCCCTCCCCAGAAGTAAAGCAACTCAAAAAATGAGTATCTAGAAAAACTAAGAGAGGGTATTTGGAGGCTATGTAAGTAGGAACAAAGCACCTAACATATTTTTCACCCCACAAGACACACCTGACCATAAGACGCACCTAGTTTTTAGAGGAGGAAAACAAGAAAAAAATATTCTGAACGAAACAGTGGATGTATGATTTTTGTGGTTCATGCTGTGGCCATAGACATGTAATCTGATGGTGAATTTGGGGTGACCGAATGCAAAAATCCTGAGGATCCATGTGGATCCATGCTTTGTGACCATGTTTTTGCACCATTGCAGCCCCAGGAAACAGTGGGTGCATGATTTTTCTTGGTGCAGGCTGTAGCCATGGACATGCTATGTGATCTGATGGTGAATTTGAGGTGACCCAATGTGAAAATCCTGAAGGGGTTTTACCTCCCCCCTCCCAGGCAGCCTCTGCTAGCATCCCTTATCTCTCTTCAGATCCCACCGATCAGCTGTTTCCTTTCAACACTCCCTTTCTTCTTGTTTGCCCTAGTGTCTTTTCCTTAGCAGGAGCAGTTTTTTCTCCTCCTTTTCTTCTAATTTCTCTCCTTATTGCTTTAGTCTTCCTGTTTCCCCCCTTTGCAAGTTTGCTGTCTTTACCTCCCCCCTTTAAAGGCAGCCTCCTTTATCTCTAGTGTCCCTTATCTCTCTCCCCAATCGGCAAACGATCAGCGGCTTTGTTTCAACACCCACTTCCCTCTTTCCAAAAAAAAAGCATGATCTGCATTTTGCCCCTGGGCAATTCGGCTCCAGTGACCATGCATTCACTCCATAAGACGCACAGACATTTCCCCTTACTTTTTAGGAAGGAAAAAGTGCGTCTTATGGAGTGAAAAATACGCTGAGTACACTAGGGCTGAAATCAGAGGGTCCCTGGGCAGCTACTGCGGAAACCATTAATGTCCTAGCTCAGTGTTGGTGCTTCAAAACTGATAGGGCCCCATAAGAGGATCAAGGGAGGGTCAGAAAAGGGCTTTCATCCAAAGGATTCACTATCTTAACAATTTAACATGCTCCCTAAAACTGGGCAAAGATATACAACAGCTCAGAATTGGGTCTAAAACTCTCTTTCTCTCTGATTTTCTTCTCATTGTTACCGTGAGGAAAAGACCCCCCCCCCCCGGCGTCATTCCTTCTGCTTTGAATAAGGCAGTCTCTCACCTGACACCTTTGGGTTGTAGCCGAACTGATTCTGCCAGTTGTAATTCCAGATAATGCTAGACATTTTTTATGATCAGTATGATGTAACAACCTGAGCCTTAACATAAACAGACGATCGGCAGCAGAATGCATTATTCCTTTGAAAAGATGTCTGCACTGAAACTCGGGAATTTTGCATTGCAATTACCTGATTTTTACAGAATCACGTTGTGGATGATTTATCTTTCAGGTGCCAATCCTATTTGGCACAGGAGTGGGTGAAAATCCCTGCCAAATCCAATCCTTCAGAGACAAAAATGCATTCATAATTTGTATGCAAAGCCTATCCTTTCATCCATTTTAATGGGGCTTCAATCTATAGACAGCTTCAGAGACTTACAGCAGATAGTAATTCCTCCCCACAAATAGTTTCACATGGCTATGTATTGTGACAATCTGTTCAGGCACAGTTGATGACAACTGGTTAATATTAAATTCTGAAATAGAATGGATGAAAGCCAAAAAGCTCAACCCAGATAAGACTGAGTCACTGCTACTGGGTGGTTCCCTTGGCCAGATGGGTGGGAGGTGGCCTGCTCTTGATGGGGTTATACTCCCTCTGAAGGAGCAGGTACACAGTTTGGGGGTATTTATGGGTCCATTGCTGTCGCTTGATGCTCAGATGGCCTTGTGGGCATAGAATGCTTTCCATCAACACTTGTTGGCCTAGCTGCGCCTCTATCTGAACAAGAATAGTCTAAAGTTTACGTTCCGGTAACCTCTAGCTTGAATTATTTCAAGGCGTTATAAGTGGTGCTGCCTCTGAAGATGGTTTGGAAATTTCCAGAGGTGCAGATATTGCGGACTGCAATTTGCATTAGCTCCAGGCAAATGGGCAGGGTAGAAATAATGTTGTTGTTGTTGTTGTTGTCAGTGGAGATGGGCATTGGAACCCACAATGTCTGGAGGCCTCCAGATTGGCTGCCCATGCTATAGTCGCCCAGGCAGCAAAACTCAAATACAGATTCAGTGATATTTACTTCTGAATAACAGCCTCTATGGTCTTCTATGGGTTGACGAGGGAAGTCCCAGGATACGTCAATGTGGAGCCTCCCACCCTTAAATTATGTAATGGTTGAAGTTAGATATCTTCTAGGAATTGGTGGGGAATGGAGATTGAGTTGGCTGCAGGAATCTAGGAAGGAAGGAAGGAAGGAAGGAAGGTCCAAAACATATTTTTTAAAAAATGAATTTTCTAACTTTAGTCAGTATCAGATGCCAGATGAAAGCAGATTCCTTAGATAAATGTTGTTTATCCAATTCTTTCTTAAAGCCAAAGTTTACTTGCAGGTATAATAAAGTAAACAATACATCAGCAAGACCAACTCATATGGCAGCTTTGTGTTTTACAAAACACCTGTTCAGCTGCAATTCTTTACTGATATTTTGGTTATACACATACAGAGAGAGAAAGAGTGCTTTTTTCTGGGTGGGTGGGGTATGCAGGGGTACTCATGCCCCTAAACATTTTCTGAATCTAAGTTTGACCTCATTGAGGGGCAGTATTTCAATATGAGTAGGAAAATGAGAGCACCCCTAAACATTTTTTTAGAAAAAAGCCGTGAGAGTGTGTGTGTGTGTGTGTGTGTGTGAATAACTGCTTGAGAATTTGTCACAGATCTCAGTAATCTGACATTGCAATATGTTGCCATGACAATGACAGCGATATAAATTAAACCATTGTATGTAGGCACAGACTCAGGGTGTGGGTCACAGTAATGTGATTTGAAACCTTTAAGTCTTTTAAAAATCAGAATAATAGTAGGAACAAATATTATAATAGTATCTCTGAATTATACTATCCCAATCAAATAAAAACAAGGTACATACTGTAAGATTAAGTGTCATATCTGATTTGTACCTGAGATTTTGCTGTTCAAAATTATTCCAAGGTAGGATTGCTTGTTCTGTGTTAATATTTTGGGTCCATGGACCTCAATAAAGCTGTGTGTGTGATTTTACACATCCACAAACTGTAAACTGTAAAATAGTGTAAACTGTTAGGTGTTATGTAAAATGCCATGTTCTGAAGGCCAGAGTATGCAGTTTTTAATCATTATGAGCAACCTCTGAATGCATAACAAACCTAAGAACAGCCACCACACCATTCATTGTAATCAAGCCATACAGCCACTAAGCCTGGCATTGCTTTTTTATTTTTGCTATCTTTTGTTGAGTCTGAAGTTTAAGGAGCCTGTGTGTGCATACAGGATTGTCCACACTGGAGCAAAATGTGGATTTGCATCTGCCTCCCTCCCTGTTAATGTAGGGGAACACACATAATGTCCTCCCCATTCCAGTGTTATCCTGGACATTTTGGACTTTTCAAAGATTGAAAAACCCTACACTGAAAGTAAATACAGTGGCCAAGTACTGACTGCTTTCTAATCAGGATTCTGACAAATCCACATGAAATGTAGGCAAGGTCTTTCACTATGGCTTTGTTTTTACTAAGCTCAACACAACTAGCAGGCAATACACTTTTGCCTGGCCTCATCCAGCAGCAGAATGTGGCCCCTGACTGATCACTCCTAAGAACGTAGCCATAGTCTCAGGGGTTTGGTTCCCGTGGTGGAATGCTTCTCGGTGCAAACACATTTTCTGCACCTAGAAAATTAGTAGGTAAAGGAGGTAAGTGAAGCAGAATCTTTCTCTAAGCAGTCAAAACATCCTGTGCATCAAATGCTCTTTTTATCTTTCCAACGGATTTGGCTGCAAAGGGATTCAAATAGACTCTCTGATCACCAGGTATTACCACCTCCAGAGCTGAGCCTCTTTGTCAGAGGATTTTATTTTGCCGTGTAACTCTTCCCAATTCCAACACACCAGGAAGAAAAAAAACTAAATATTTTATGTTTCAGCTTTTGAAAATAAATATATTCCACGTATGCCTTCAAGTGGTTATTTAAGGCATGTTCGATCCATCAGATCCTGATAGCTGCAAGTTCAAATAATGCCATGGTGGCATAATGCCTGGTGGGTGTTTGTCCCTCCCCACACACAATCGGCCCGAGATGCCTTCTGCAGTTTACGGAGTTGCTGAAATATTCATAGCCGTTCCCTTGGAAGTAAGCGTTTAATTTATTTAAAGTCCTTTGGATACTCAGAACAATTTCCTTGGCTCTCGCCTCCTGCCCCGCCCACCCACGCACTGAACACCTGCGGTTTGCCATTAATGTGTCCTCTCAAGGTATTGTTAGCACTCCTGTGCTGTCATTCTGCACGATGTATTACCCAGAGGTACATTCATTATTCGTTGGGTTGAATATTATGTGATCTGTGAAGTCTTCTGTGAAGACTTTTGCATAGAGGCAAAACAAAAGGAAAACGGGGAAAACGGGAGTCAGCAAGCTGCCGGGCATTACATTTGTGCTTATGAGAGCTTCTGCAATTTTAACATTTAAGCTTCTTTCCATAAAACCACACTTTCAAAGGACTGCGGTACACAATGGTGGGAAGTGTTAGCTCTTAATGCGTTAGCCTCATTGTCACAGCTAATATATCAATTAGTTGACTCTGCCAAAGGCAGGCTTATGTAAAACTAAGCATGGCTCTCAAAGAGTAGCAAGCAGCTTACAGAGCAATCTCCAAAGAGGCAAATGACATCGGTGCCCTTTGAGCCCAATAGATTTTGAACACAGGTCCTTTAAACAGCTACAGAAAGCTGGCTACAAAAACACATGGGGGCACCTCCTCCGTTTGCCATGGTCTCAACCTCCATTTCGTTAGAGAAGAATCATTGCGGACCCATTCGCAGTGATCCACCCACCTCAGGGAGCAAGGCCTGAGTCAAGAAGGCACTAAAGGTGGCCAAACTATGGGTCATTTTCATTAGTAATGTATGCCTCCTTTTCAGAAAGGAAAAACTGCCCTGAGGCCTGTGGGTATAGGGTGGTATACACAAAGTTTGGGAATAATTAAACAGGTGATCAAAGACCAACACTTCAGGGTGCATCATAATATGCACTCCTTTGTTAAGAACACCCTCTAGGTGGAAAAGGCAAAGTATAAAAAAGAAACTTTGAGAAACAACATTTTAAAAGTGATTCAAAGGAGGGTCAGGCAGATCAATCCATAGTTGGCACTGCTAAAGAGACTGCTGAAAAAACACAACCCTCAAGTAAATATGGATTCTCTATCCATTGTAACCTTCAAAAGGAGACAAAATGCATTACAAGAAGCTATTGGACCTGGTCTGACAATCATTGCAGAAAATCATACTTATTAAAAATGGCTATGGGATGCAAACACATATTTAGTTCAGTAAATCTATTCATTTACCCGTTAATGCTGTTTGAGAAAAACTAAAGCCTGGGAAATGTTTTTGATTGTGATCAATATTTGTGTTTCCAGACTGCAGCTGATCCCCTAATATTAAGTTTTCTGTGTTCTCAGAGAAATAAATTGCAAGATGGTTGTGATTAACTTTGGTGCAGGTTGTTGTTGTTGTTGTTGTTGTTGAACTCTTGCAATGTAGTTTCCATTGTACATGCACCCAAACTGCAAACCAAATTAATGCTAAATGGAGGTGAACAATATTGCAAGGAAGTTTGAATCAACCATCTCAAAATGACGACAGAAAATACTAACATTAGAGAGAGAGAGAGAGAGAGAGAGAGAGAACACAAGATGTGGGTTGTTCTTGGGTTTGTTTGTTTTTAATGGGGGAGGTTTATATTCACAACATATTTAAAACCGAAAAAGATTTTTTAAAAGATTATTTTAAAAAAACCACACATCTGGAAAAACACACCACAAGTGCAAGCATGTCTATGGAGGGTTGTTATCCTGAGGTAACAACTCCCTTATCTAGCTGCAATATCTTATCCATTTTACCACTCCCCTTCCCCTGAGGGATGGAGTTGTGGGCGGGCATCTGGGACCTTACTGTGACCTGGCAGTGGGCGGAGTGATGCTGTCCGTGTCATCAGGACTCCCAGCCGCTTCACACCCCTGGCTGACCAATTGGGTTAGGCAGGGGGCATGGCTGCTACTGTTTAAATCACGGCACAGCTGGGAGCAGCAGTCTCCTTTCATATATATCAAACAAACAGAATGGGCAAATGCTGTAAAAGCGAATAGGCAGCAGAGATTTGAGTTCAGTTAAGCAGTTATTGAGATTTCTATCTCAGCCTGTTCTAACAGAAGTTCACCACATATTTAAAACCGAAAAAGATTTTTTAAAAGCTTCTTTTTAAAAAATAAAAAAACACATCTGAAAAAATATACCACATGTGCAAGCATGTCTGTGGAGGGTTGATATCGTGAGATAACAACTCCCTTATCTAGCCGCAAAATCTTATCCATTCATTTATACCATCACAGGAATGAAGGGTTAGGAAAGGAGGGAAAGGAGCCTGTTGGATAACAAGGTGCTGTTAACTGACCTCAGCTTCACCTTAGATGATGTGCTGGATATGCAAATGTGGATAAAGAGAAAAACTCACTGCAGAGTATACTGAATTTGAACGCCGTAAGACAACATCTTGGCACTCTTGTACTGCCGATGGTCAAAATAAGCCTAGACCGAAAAAGGGAAGGTGGTTCTCAAGTAACTTTATACTTGTCGTTGAGAAATAGAGCTGCTATCTCCACCAAGTATGAGCTTGTAAGAAAAAAATTGATTGTGGCATAAGTGCTTGCATAACCAGTCAGAAACCACTGGAAATCACCTACAGAAGAGTCCCATTGCTATCATCAGTGGACTTAACTCTATGTGTAAGAATATCAGTTGTGAATTAATACGGCCATAGCAAAATCATGGAGAATACAATTAGGAGCCTGAGAACCACATACAGTGGCACCTCGGGTTACATATGCTTCAGGTTACATACGCTTCAGGTTACAGACTCTGTTAACCCAGAAATCTTACCTCGGGTTAAGAACTGTGCTTCATGATGAGAACAGAAATCGTG